GGGTAGAAAGGAATTTGTTAAAATTTGAGAAAATTCAAATATCACCCAAACTGATAGAAAATATCCTAATTGTAAAACCCGATACAGTCTGGGGTTGCTCGGGGTCTTATTGAGCAAATTGTCAGCAACGTTTTCAGTGATATTGTCCATGATTCATAAAATACTTTACATTGTGTTTTGTGACCAAGCATAAATTTATGCTTTGCAACTGCAATGAAATGACACCTGAAATACATACATAAGCCTATTTTTGTGCAACAATGCCATTTACCAAGGCCACAGTTTCTGCATGTCTGGTCATGTAAAAAGCAGCCAACTGGAAATTATTTCCTGGTTTTATAAAATATAGTCATAGACCCAGTAATGAAGTGCTTACTCCATTTCAGAAATTAATATTGAACAGTTGTAGACTTGAAATTAATTTGTGATTGAATAACTTCTGGAACAATGTGGTTAAAAATAACCATACTACTTGGAATTGTTATACTATGTTGTACACCATGTATGTGGACATTTGGTTTTGGTTCGGATCGAGTACTTTTACGTGATATTTCTGCAATAACACTTCATCAAGGTCAAATGACAACTGGGCGAAGGTCATCTCCTGTGCCACAGTTGAAATGTGTTGGAGGAACTGCGGGGTGCCATGGTTTTGTTCCACAAACAGTCCAATGCAGAAATGTGGGATTCGATGGCCATGATGTTCAATGGGAATGCAAAACTGATATGGATGACTCGTATCGTTTTGGGAAAGTACAAGTTACTTGTGAAGGTTATGACTACCCAGACGATCCCTATGTTTTGAAAGGATCTTGTGGTTTGGAGTACACAATTGATGTAACTGATGCAGGAAAATCCAGAAACCAAAATAGTTGGGGCGGGGATAATTACGGACAATCAAACTTACAGCATAAAGAGTCTTCAGGATCTTGTTTTCTGGGATTATTGGTTGTTGGGGCGATTGTGTTCCTAATTTATAAAATGTGTTCTGCTGTAAGTGATAATCAACCGAACCATTCCAGGGGTACCAGTTCTAACCATAGATCACCTCCTGGAAACCAACCACCTCCTTATGGTTTCAAACCAGAGTACTCACAGACTGGTGGCAATTATGAACCTCCACCAGCGTATTCTGATGCTACCGGCGACAGGACACGTACATCTTCTTCAACGACAACAAACAATTCATCACCCGCTGGTGGCTTTTGGTCTGGCATGGGATGGGGAGGTGTACTTGGATATCTTTTTGGAAGAAGAGGCAATAATTATGGATATGGGTATCCAAGAAATAATTATGGCACTGGATACAATGGAGGGTGGGGTGGAAGCGGATGGGGTGGTAATCGTGGATGGGGTAGCAGTGGGTGGGGAGGAAATCGAGGATGGGGCAGCTCCTGGCAAACGGGAACATCTCATACCACATACAGAGGCAGCAGGTCGTCATCATCTGGAACATCAAGGACTGCATCTGGGTTTGGTGGGACCTCAAGAAGATAACATTGTCTTTGCTCCTTTTACTTTCATATTTTGTTTGTACATATGTAATGTTTTGCACTTCCACATGATTTTTTTTCTGTATTATTCCATATTAGTTATTCAAAAAGGATGAATACTGCAATGGTTAATTTGTTTAATGAGATTCACTTTTGTAGAAACTGAACTGTGTTTGTAACTATAGGCAATCACTTTCATTCAATCATCTGAGTAAAGTGATGGGAGAAAAATTGATGATGTATAATTTAAAATAATAGGTGTATGTAGTTGCATATTGCTTTTACAGTGTCAATTTTTTTTAATAAATCGAATGTTGTTTATCAGTTTGTCATCTGTATAGAAACAAACCCCCGCATTACATCAACCTAGCCCGTGAAATGCCATCATAACAACTGAACGAACAAAACAAAAGTATTCCCGATTACGATTCGTGAAATACACAACCACAAAATTTGTCATTCACAGAAATAACTTGTGGGAAAATGGATGGTACATTCAAAGTGTAGTGTGCGTATATGCAGCATGTTATCCTACTCGCATCATTACATAGGACCAGAGACTCGTCAATACAGTACAGCTTTTCAATTGAAAAGAGTAGTCGAATTTGCCCAGACATATCCTATTAAAACTGATTTAGCTGTCTATAGCTAAAGCCTCACCCCTGAAGTCACGGACCCATGCAGTAATTGCTATTTTGCCTCATGATCTGTTACTTCATTGAAAAATGCCTTGTTATATATATAAATTCAACAGGCTGAGAGACAAGAAGACACTTTGTATGTGTACTAGTAATCAACTGATGGTCAATATTGTGCGAAATGTTTTATTGTCATTTTGTAGACACGGGAAGAAAATATCATGAATCATAAATTCATACGAAATTCAAAAAACATGCATGTATGAAGAATGCAGTGTTGTCAGTCAGACTCGATCATGCTGAATGGAGCATAAACAGAAGTCACTATTTCCTCTCAATAATCAGCATTAATCATACCCATTAGGTTGATGTTTCATTGCCACAAGTGTATGGTGCTGAAATTCCCAGATTCATGTAATAGCATAACAAGAGGAATGTTGACAAAATTTCAGCATCCTTCCTAGTTTCAATACAAATTTTGCAAATCAAAACGACTTGTATTTCCACATCTTTGAACAATCCAACCAGGGTTGTCCAAAACGAATCGAATATTCGAATGTATTCGAATATCAAAGTATTCGAATACCTTTTCAGCTGTTTTTCGAATAATTCCGAATAGTAGCCACTTTTCGCCGTAAACGTGGTGTTTTGTTTTATGGGAATCTTCAAACGACTTTTTACGCTGTCTCACGTATTGTAATGCAGATGAAATAGAATCGGCACTTTGTTTATATTCTGTGCGACCGTACGTCGCATAATGTTGCGACACATTTGCACGTTTGCGTGGGTGGACATTGCCGACATTCGTCTACGAGGCTTCCAATTTACAAATTCATTTCCATTATGTCAAAAAATTGACAATTACCGTATTTCCGGGCAATAAGTCGCTTTTCTAGGGGGGCGTCTAAGTGAGAAAGTATGTAGTTCTATGTGACCTGTTTTTATTCGCATGAGTCTTCTCAAGCATGATTTGTGTAACCTTATATTTGGGTCTTAGGGTCTGCCAATCATGATATTTGATCGCAGACCGGTTATCGTTACTTTAATAAAGAGAAACACGGCCACCGAGATAAAGTGATTTGTGACCCTTTCGTTTTGCCGATTCAGCAGAACACGACAGGGACAGGAAAACACAGCTGTGAAATAACCCGTGGACGTAGAGTGTAGTACTTATCACATTCCAAAATTATTTCAACATTCGGGTTAATAGGTTGTCCAAAATGATTGCCGTTTCACAACTTAAATTTACCACTCAATTGTTAAAAATAGTTAATTCGGTAATATGATTCTACCAAACTAACTTGATCTGGTTCGAAACATATAAAATTATTAGCGCATATCAGCATAACTGAACAACAGGGACACAATTTTTCTACCCGTCTTATTGGGGGCCTGTATGGAAAAAAACCTTTTTGAGTGCTAAAAATAGACATCGTCCTATTTGCCATGTGGACTTATTAGCCGGGAAATACGGTATTTATAGCCGTCATTGTTACGATACGATTAGAAAATAATTTCTGGCAAATAATTCTGATAACGATAGTTAAAAGTATCGATCCTTTACCAGGATGATTTTTTGTTGCGCAAAATAATCCAATCAATGACTGGTATCAGCATTTAAAATGTCATGCCGTATTAATTTAATTCTGTTCAATGTAACTCATGGTTGTATCGACAATCTGTGGACATAAAATGTGTGGTGGACTGACCGATATTATTAAATATTGATTCCCATTTTTATATTGATAAAATAATGAAAGTATAATACCAAATACCACGGGTATTTGTGGACACGAAATACGTGGTAAACTGCCCAATTGTAATTATTTCGGATTCGTATTTACAAAATAATAAAACTATCACAATTCTAAAATGCAACGGCGATCTGTGGCCTTAAAATGTGTGGTAAACTGCCCGATTTACCAACATTTCAGTTATGATAATAGAATTAAATTAACACGGTCAGGCATTTTAAATAGTGGTATCGGTCATGAATTCGAATATTTTGCGCAGCACAAAATCATCCTAGTAAAAAGTCCATACTTTTAAATACAAACTAATGGCAACCATTATCCAAATTAGTTCCCAAGAGCGGGATAAAGTAAAAATTATTTTTCCATCTTGTGACAATTTTTCGTGAGTACGAAAATAAGAATCAAAAACTAATTATATTCGGCACAATATCACGGCAATCTGTGGACATAAATTGTGTGGCAAACTCGCGATTAATATTAATTTTTGATTCCTATTTTCGTATTTACAAAATACAACGGCGATCTGTGGACTTGGAATGTGTGGTAAACTACCCAATTATAAATAGTTTTTGATTCCTATTTTCATATTTATAAAATATTAGAAGTATTATTACTCAAACATACAACGGCGATCTGCGGACTTAAAATGTGTGGTAAAGTTCCCGAATATAATTAATTTTTGATTCGTATTTTTGTACTCACGAAAAAAGTTGTCTCAAGTCGGAAAAATAACTCATACTTCATCCCACTTTTTGGCAAATAATTTGGATGATGGTTGGTATTTAAAAGTATGGGCGCTTTACTAGGATGATTTTGTGTTACGCAAATATTCAAATCCATCATCGATACCACTATTGCCGTATTAATTTAATTCTGTTAACATGACTATACTGCAATAATCTGCAAATATGAAATGCCTGATAATATAGCTAGGTTGTAACTTGTAGATAGCAGTTATTCCATTGCTTATTATATGGAAATTCCTACATACATTTAGATAAGCTTCAATTAGTGGATTTTATTTTCAAGTATTCGAAATTTCATATTCGGAAAAAATAATTTCGAATGTATTCGAAATAGTGAACTATTCGGTATTGGCCATCCCTGAATCCAACGCAATCAAAACTCCATAGTACACAACCTAACATTTCATGATCATAGTTTTAATTTTCAACAATCACCTCTGAGTATTGCAATGGCTTCGTACATCAAAATGTTTTGTCAAGTATTGCAATCAACCCACTTAATACCTGTCTTTAGCATGTTAGATATGCATAACATCCATTTTCAGACAGTTTTACTCTGCATATCTCAATTTTCTTTCGCCACTTCGGTCCCATATATTGATGGTTGTTTGGTGACAATTGCATTTAATGATTTCTTAAATTTCATGAAATGTCGTTTAAATTCGAGACCATCTCCTTTCGACAAGCGCAAATCCACCAGACAGCGCTGGTTATCACTGGAATTATTCTCAATAATACAAACTTTAAAAACAAGTGAGTTTTTTCGTCGGTCCGTAGTAGAAACCGTCAGAATACCAGGTGACATTTGCTTCACAGAATGCCTGAGAATAAAGAGAACCTGGTGTAAGCATTAGGAGGGCACAGTGCCTAATTTCAAGAGCAGTCGCTCCGGGCAGCACGTTATAGGGATGAGTTTGCTTAATAATATTACAAACATTTTACTACTACTTGATCTTTAATTTATTTATTCTCATGTACAACAACATCTATAATTTGTATATCCCCCAAATTATTTTCGAAGTTAGGTATAATAACATTACAGGAACTGCCCGGCGTTCCGGACAGGAGAAAAGTTTGACAGACCACTGAGTTTGGATTAGAATTTTAATATGACAGATAAAACAACAGATATACCATTCCTAAAATCTAAGGAATAATCTAAGTCCAGATTCGAACAACAACTCCTCAAAAAATAGCGTTTTAACAAAAATTTGGTTTGATCCTGTGCACTCAAATTCAAAAAACGAAATGATTGCGAAATCTAGTTGCCAAGCTTACCCAAACTTTTTGCAAACTTTCGTAATCTCATTAATAGTTTCTTCTGTAGTTTTACTGCTCCAGAATCTGGTCATACGTTTAACAAGTTTCTGCCACATATTTTGTGTTGTAGCTGGTGTATTCATCCATTGAGAACTAAGTAGCATATTATCTATTTCGACAGGCTGAAATGGGTAAAATTTTTAAGATTGAGCACAATAAGATGAGCACGAGAAAACTTTCGTAACTGATTACCAGTAGGGAGTTATTTGATTTCCAGTTTATCGTTGAAATTTTCATAGTAATACTGCCTCAGATTCATTTTTAAACAAGAAGAATGTCCTGTTTGGACAGAAATATTTGACATGAGCTTGCAGTGGGATTTGCCCCAAATTTTGTGCATTACAAACACATGCTATAGCACGATTTGTGGATGCAGACGAACAACAAAAATATAATCTTGAAGAAATTAACAGAAAATGAATTTTACCTGTGACAAGCAAGCATGAGTTAGTAAATTGTCCACTGATACTGTAGATATTTCATTGCAACTGCTGTTAAGTTGAGGTTCAGGTTGTGTGACAGAAAGCTAATAAAATAGAAAAATATTCAGTAATCAATGACAAATATACCATGAATAGGTTTTCGCTGAATTTTGATTGGTAAACCCTGAGTTGACCTCAGAGCTAGATGTACATGTGATTATTCTTCAGGAGTTTGATGTACGGGGCTTTGTTCTTTCTTGCACAAGTAAATTAGAAATAAATGCAACATTTCAATAAATTTGTGAATCAATCCCTTTGAACCAATTGATATACTCATTTTAATTCCTGCTAATATATCCTTGAAGCATACTAATCACTAACACAAGGCAGATAGGAGGAAGAAGTAGAAAGTTACACACTACTATAATCAACCTTAACTTTTAGTGAATGATTGACATCTTGAACTTGCAGTGGAAAATGTACTTTTGCAAATGCAGGCAATCATGTGATGTTAACTTGTACACATAAATATTTGTTCTTACTGCATCCCTATCTTGCACTGCAATATTGATTGATCCTGAATCAGTCAGCAGTCGTTTTGCGAGTGGTGAATTGTCAAATGATGATGACGATCTTCTTTTGAATGGTAGTGGTTTCACAAACCATCTGTTCGAATATGTTATGTAGCTTTCACACATATTAATCATAGTGGGTACCAAATAATTTACTATTCTCAATAAGTAATATAATGTACATCTAATTTTTTTTGAATATAATGTTAAATTAATTAGTGCAAACCTCTATTTTGACCAACTAAATTCCAAATTTTAAAATACTGTTTCAAAAGTATTCAAAATAAGGGAAAATTCGGTTTCAGCTACCTATGTTTCATAGATATAAATCAACAAGCAAATGGTGGGAATTATTATGATGAAATGAATAATATGAATTGTTGGAGTACATAGGAGATTTGGTACTCCCATAGTGTGTGTACCAGTTTAGTTTAGGCCACAATTTTATTCCGATTTCCCTTATTTTAGTTCTATTACAAGTTCAGGGACTGTCTGTGTTAGCCAAGTGAATATATCCCCTGCCCATAGGCTTCAGTCCCTTTACACAACTTGACGTAAAGTAGGTAAACAAAATTAGTTGCCTCCATATTGCTAAACACACTTCTGGAGCTCCGGAGATTTTCTTTCAAATGACGACATTGAGAAGTTCGGTTTTAATGTAGCTTCCACGAACCATTGTAAAGCAAGGACAAGTGCTGAATCATCACTTTTAAAGTCAGTAAATACTATATATAGTTTACTGATACTCAAATTAAGAAAAATTTTCGTGCTATTCTTGATAATTATAAAAGAAAATTTTAATCATACCTGTCCTTTTTCACAGTTGCAATAGTTGCACGTTTTTCAGGAGATTCGACCAATACTCTCCTCAATAGGGCCAGAGGAATTGTATCAATTTTATTCCAAGGTGATAATTGGACTTTTCTGTCTAACCAATCACAATATTCTTGGCATCCATCACTTGGTTCATCCCATGGCAGTTCACCTGAAGAAAACATTTCCCAATCCAAAATTAAGTTGTCAAGAATATGTAAAAAACAAACAGCAAAAATTATCCTCCGATGTACTTGGATGCTTGTAATTTAGAATCACTCAGATTGTATATTTAAAGATTATCAATGCTATTCTCATACGCAACTGGATGAGACGCTGTAGTTTGCCTATGATTGAGCTGTCTCATCGGCTCTTTTCTGCACAGTAATAAATAGGAAAATGCTATCCTAACCAGGAATGTCTAACAAGGACATATCACATGAAATGTGCTGGGAAATGACAAGATGTATATAGGTGATCTGGTACTAATATTAACTTCTATGGCAAATAAATGCACCATATACATTTGACATATCAACCTCACTTTATCTTTTATTTTATTCATTCATATAGATATTTCTCCTACATACCTGCTAACATGGCGACCAATACTATTGCACATGACCACACATCTGCAGGTTCGGCATGATAAGGTTCTTGTACTAATACTTCTGGTGCGACATAAGGTGGTGTTCCACAACATCTATTGATTAATCTTTCTCTACCTGTGAGTGAGTAGTTATAAACAATTTAATTTAGGGTATTTATTTAAATAATTTTGCTCTGACAAAATATGTATATGTCCCATGCCTAGAAGAAGCATAATTAAAATATTATCTATTATTTATAGTCAAGTCAAAATAATGGCAACTACCGGGAGAGAACCCCAATCCCATGGTACATCACAATTGCTTTCTGTTGTAAATTCATTAACAGCGCATAGCTTAATTGTTGGTACAACAGGGAGAACCGGGGAGCCAAACTCGAAGAATGGAAGAAACGAGCCATTGCTATTTCAAAACAGCTCTTGGAACATGTGCAGAGGGTATCTAAGTTCCACCAAGGCTTAGAGGAGTCGATGAACTATTTACTATTGACGCAGACCACCCCAGATTCCAAGCTATTTGAACTCTCATTCCGTTCTTGTTTGACCAAAACACTACCAATTCCACAATGCTGTCTATAGCTAATGCAATATATTTCAAATTACCTTTGTGTCTGAATATTGTTGCTAAACCAAAATCAACAATCTTAAGAATGTTATTTCCATCGAGAAGTAAATTTTCTGGTTTGATATCACGGTGTGTCACTCCAAGAGAATGCAGGTATTCGACACCTGGAAGATTAACATAAATACTAATTATGTTAATTACTAATTGAAAAGATAATTTTTCAAAGAAATGATTCTATACCTGAAATTAATTGCCTAAAATATGATTGCGCGTGTGAAGGAGGCATTCCAATATCTGGTTCAATCTTATCAAATAATTCTCCACCACTTGCATATGCCAGAAATATATATTGATGTGTTGTCTCTTTTCTTGTACCGTAACATTTCACAATGTGTTTATGATCCAACATTTTGTGTATTCCAACTTCTTTACGAATCTGATGAATTCATGATACAAAATTTTACAGTATGCTAAATAACACACCGTAATTACTGATGGTTAACACATTGTGCTACAAGATAGAAATTTGCTTGTTATTCCAATTGTATTCACCCTTTTAGATTAATAGTATAATCAAATCCTATGTGGAGCGATTAGGAGTGCAAGAAATGCCATGATGAAAGAAATACTATGATGATGAGCCAATCGGACTATGGCAACAGCACGAACCCTCTTGGGTCAACTGAATATTTATTTACACACCATTTTGGCCCAACTTGAGAGAGGATATTGACTGTACGGGCAGAAAATGACATGAGAATTTCTTACTATCGAAATCTTACCAGATCCATTGCTGCTGCATCTTGTGCTTTCTTTAGGTCAATTATCTTGACAGCAACTGCTTCATCATTTCCTGAGTTAATAGCGAGTTTAACCTCACCATACGCACCTTCTCCGAGTGTTTGAACGAAATCCCATCCATCTACAAATGGCACTGCTGCAGCAGTCATCTTATTTTTTTAAACACAATAATAGCTTGAAAAATCCCATGGATTAGATAGTGAAATTACTGCAAAAAATGAAAGAACAAAAAGAAGAATTCGAATAACGAAAATTAACAAATTAGTCACGAGTATTATTATTAGGTCTTAATAACGACAAAATAAATTTATGATACTAGGAAAAATGTTTCAATTGCTCTGCAGCACTGTTACGCATGCACTGTGAAGCATGAATATACGTAGATAAATATGCAAGTGTATGTAAGTTATAGCAATAGTACAGTAGAACTGATAAACTTTAGAAATTTACTCTCAATTACTGAAAACAGTATAGAATCATTTTTGTACTGTTAATTCAGCTCAACATTTTATTAAGTATTTTGAACTTGGGACTTTTGGAATGAACCATTTTCATGGGGATTTCTTTTTACTAGTGCCAGTTTTTTTCTTTTTGCTGTTTGCGTTTTTCGGTTTCACATATTTAGCAGCTATTTGGTCTAGAAATGCTTCTTGTTTCTTCATCCGATCCTCATTTCTTTGGGCAATGATACTTGCTATGTCGGATATGGAATCTCCCATTTCTTTTTCAAAAACTTTCGCATTTTTTTCTGCATGCTTTGCTTCTTTCTCGTATTTACGTTTTCGTGCTAAACGTTTTGCTTTGGTTTCTTTAGAGAATTTATCATAATTTGGCAATTCCTTAGCTTTGATCCATTCTTCAATCAGTTCTCTATATCGTTGTTCATGATCTAAAGCTCTACAATACATATTTTGTATTATTTTATTCATATCACCTTTATATTCCTCATAAGCTTTTTTTAAGTCATCTTTTTCCTTTTCCGAGCCCCAGTATTCATCAGTAAACTCTTTAATGGCATCGTTTAAATTTCCAAATCTTGACGACCAAAATTGTTTCCAATTAAAAATGTCGCTGTCAATTTCATTATCTACACATCCACTTTCATCATAAAGTTTTCGACGTTCTTCATCAGAAAGTACGCTATAGACCTTTCCTAAAATTTGGAATTTTTCAGTAGCAAGTGCTTTCTCTTCTTCAGTTACCCTATCAGGATGAACCTTCAAAGACATTTTACGATAAGCCGCTTTGATTTGTTTTTCTGATGCATCCTTTGATACATTCAACACATTATACAAGTCTTTTGACCCAAACTGTTCCTCGCATTGCTCCAAAAAAGACATTTTATGTTTTCTATTCTACCAAAGAACAAAATAATCAATTAATTACAAAAATAGGCAGTAGAGAAATTATAATCCTCAAGTCTCTAGAGAGATGAACTAACTTAAAGATATGTCTTTCAGATAAAAGTCGGCCCATTTATCAATCAATTTAATTATGATTGTTTTCGGAACATAAATTGGTGCTATTATAGCATGAAGTCTACAGCCATATGTCACCTGATCTATGTCCTAGCATGTTACTGTGTTAAGATTAGAATCAGATCCATGTCATACATCACTAAATTAGGCATAGAAAGTGTTCCAAATAATTGTTACAAGTTTGGAATGAAAAATGCAGCGGTAGAACTCAAGCTATGATAGTATCCATGCTACTTCTAACAAGTCTCTCAATAAGCAGAACAAAACAGTCACATGAACAATATCTAGAGATAGATAAAGCAAAACATTTCTTGATAATCGAGTAGAAAATTCAATACTTCGCAGAAGATGATGTGTATGACAAGGTCATAATAAAAACAAGTTGAGACAATGCATTTACTAAACATAACCCCAAAATAATTTAGATATAAACAATATGAAAAAAAGATTATAACACAATTTCAACACAAAACATTTTAAATATGAAACATTTGAATATACAACACTACCACAGGGGACAGAAACCTTTACAGCTAAATTTATTTCAAATAGCAAACATTTTCATATGCAGCACTGCTATAGTGGACAAAAACCTTTTTCAGTTAACTGTAAGTTAATACTAGCACCTATTTTTGCATGGTGAGATTTGAGCACAGTAACTTTAATATGTATAGATCCAGGTTCTATTAAATTATCATTTACATTTTTCAAAACATTAGATTTGGATAAATATATTCGCGTCGCTACAGCAGAATTCCACGAATGACCAAATCCAGCATTTGGAGAAGAGTCAGAATCAATATTAAAATATGTGTTTGTAGTAACTACAACAGCTAGAGTAAAATCTTTCGCTATGGCATTAATTTCTTTTTTTACTGATGTTGCCAGCGATTGTCCTTCAACATATGATAAATTTTTTAAATCAGAGAGTAAAACAGCTGATAAGGAATCAATTATAATTGCTTTCAAGTTTAAGGTGAAGCCAGTATCATGTGAGTTTAAACTTCCACGAATCATTGATAATATGTCAAGGAGATGATAAGTGGATGTGCATTTACATACTCTAATATGTGATAACGTCTCACCAAAATTTGTTTTAATCATTTGAGCAGCCCTTTCTGGGGAAAAACCAGAGCTGCAGTCAATATATATCACATTTTGCTTTAACGAGGCAGCTATATTGATTGCAAGCCCCGTGCATAATTGTGTTTTTCCAGCTGCAGATGAACCGCAGATTTCTGTCACTTCTCCAGTAAATATACCAGATGATAAAAGATCATCCAACTCTGTACAATTTGTTGAAAGAATTGAAAGGGTAGCAATTGATTCTTCATATAGATTCAAACCATTCAAGGGAAATGATGAATATTCAGCAAGCAATACACGTCGTATCGATAAAACAGTTTTATATTGAACCTCACACTGAGATGTAATTTTACTTGGTTCCGTACAAATAAAATCCAATACTCTCTTTACTCCATGAGAAGCTAGTTTTGCAACTATACTTTCAGTCAGTAACGGACACATTCCAGCCTGCAGAAGAGGCATTGTTTGGTTAATATACCCCTAATTGTATCTGTAAAAAATGGTGATTGAATTTTTTTGATTAGTGTGGTATGTAAGTTACACTCACATGCCATGCATACCAATTGAATTTTCTATACCGACTTTAGAGGAGAAAAGCCAGACTCTGAGAATGTAAGTTGGCAAATGAAGCATTACAACAGTATTGCCTTATCAATCACTATGTCAATATGTGTTGATGTGATTCTTAGATTACACCAATATTTCGTATGAAATGAGGCTGAAGCATGGTGCATCATATATTAATTTGATTTTGAAACAAAGAATGTTTGAATGTCCAGGTTAATAGAGTTTATCTCCATGTATCCGCCTTTATCACTGTATTGTTTGTATTTCCATTGCTGTGTGCAGGTGTGTCACAATTCAGCAATTCCAGAATTCTATCAAGCTTAAGTCAAGCTTTTTTTTCTTGGGTAAATCAGACTATTTTTTCCCGAAGAATTCAATGATGACGTTATTAGATTACGCTTCTTTGTAGTATTTTGCGCAATATCATTATACTGTATTTTTACTGATATTGAGGGACAACAATGTCCAGACGTCTCTCAAAGGAGGGGTGTCTGATCATTGGTGAAATGGATTTTCCTGAATCGAGACAATGTCAACCGATCTGTATAGTGTGCCGTACTGCTCTATGCCACAAGAGTAAACAAGAGGTCGTGGTCCACCTTACCAACTTTCCTCTCCCCAAGGATAAATACAGAACTATGTAAATCCTATCCTGTCTACTTCCAGACTATTGTTAGCCGTCAGTCATCGGCATGAACCAGTTGAATAGCAACTACGTTACCGGTCTGCCGGTACTACCAGATGACTATTATTGCGTATTGACAGATTGAGCTAATCGCAACCCGACAAACAAACTTTTTGGCCACGGAAACAAAAACATTTCATCAAATCAGTTAGTTGTGTTGAAGAAACTGCAGAATTGAAGACTGGAAGAGTGAAAAATGAATGACAATGAATAAATAATTTTTTTTTTCTAATTCGGATTTGTGAATATGATAGTTTTGATTTATCCAAATGTAGCCTATTATTTCAATTTTTGCCAATTATTGTTCGAATTTGATCCAGATTAGTACCCATTTTCCAAGAAAAAAAAAACATTTGCATAGAAAATTCAGAAAAACAAAAGATTATAGGCTACAACAACAACAGAAAACCATATTACTCATATTTACATCATTTGTTCAATTTTGATATTCCATGTCATATAGTCCATTTAGAATTAATTCCCATGTTGTGATTGGCCGTTCAACCAATATATTTATTTTAGTAATTATTAGATTAGGCATACAAGCATACTACTCATTTATGCACCCAAATGCCTCCGCCCCATGCATAAATTTACACGTGCTATTATTTGTTCTGCTATTATTTGTTCCTGTTGAGACCGCCGTCGGGTAAAATATCAACGATGGAATACTGGAGTAGGAAATATTTGGACGAAAACTTGGAAATTAGACGAATATAAACCCTACTGAGAAGATGCATACAAACTTAAATCAAAACGATGTTGTCGGATACAGTACTGATACGATATGGATCAGTTCGCATCAGATCATGCCGGGCCAGCATTGCTGGCCTGCGTGGAGTTTATCATGGAAAACTGGTCGAAGCTGGGAAAAACATGAACAGTCAAATGTAACGAATATTTGAAGGTAGATTGCATAAAAAAGACTACTTACACTACTGCACTAAGCAAATTTTGATTAAAACTGAAGTTGTAACGCCAGGGCAATGCACTTGTCATATTTTACTTCGTTTGTTGTTGTTTTCTTTCATGGTGCTTTTATCCTTGTTGTTTAGTTGAGTGCGTTTGTAATCAAATTATTTACCACATATTGCGCACTGCTTATTTGTTTATGTTCTACAATTCCTATTAGAAATTACACTCCATGTTAAAACTCCACATTCACACCCAAGTATTTACGCCCGAATTATCTTTCGTGTTCCTTTTTTTTCAATTTACTTCAATGTGTTGTTTGCCACATCCACACCCAAGTATTTACGCCCGAATTATTTATTTATTTATTTTTTTTTTTTTGTTCCTTTTTTTCAATTTACTTCAATGTGTTGTTTGCTGTTTGGGGTAAGTGGGCACGTGCACCAGCACGTCTTAAATCTTTTTTAGATTTTGCCCACTTCCCTGATTTTCCGTACATTTGTTTGTTTTGCCATGTATTGTTTTGTTATATTGGGAAATCGAAATAAACACTTACTTACTTACTGATTTAATTATTCTAATTCACACCTACCTGCATGGGAAAAATAAAAGCCCGCGCAAATATTTTGGGGATTCCCCTTTCGAGTGTTTATTCTTTTGCTCAAGTTTAAAGTGCTGTATGTAGGCCTATATATGAAAAACTATTTTAATGATCGGCTTTTTCATGTTAAATTTGCTTTTCCAAAAATATCTGAAAATCATTTATTATATAAAGTAGATGACATGGAGATTGATGTCAAAACTGTGCTACATTTATTTTATTTCTGTGAATTTGTACAACAATTTTTTAGAAGTTGGTATAGCATAGATATCGTAATTGTTTAATAAGAGAGAGAGAAAGAGATTTTTTTCTCATAAATATACATATATAAATTCATACATAAATTTGTCTCCAATAAATATTCTAAAGTGGAATTCGAACAGATTCGGTACTAAGATTTTTTCTTTTTTTTTTATATTCAGCACAAGGTGGCGATAGGGAACAAAAATCCTTTTCGGCTGAAATAAAATGCAGAAAAGGCGGGATATTTCAGTCTACTGCGGTTGTTGTTGGGGTTGAATCAAAAAGACATTTAGCCGTTCTGGGAGGTGTTTGAATGAATGAATTGATCGTGTTAATTTTAATTTTAAAATTAATTTTAAAATGTTTTGTTTACATGCCTGTATGCCTAATCCATAAACTAAAATAAATCTAATCTTTAATTGGTATTCTACAAATCACAACATGGAAAATGACTTGCGATGGACAACATAACTTGGAATATCGAAATGGAATGTTAAAATTGGACTAGCGATGTAAAAATGGGTATTGGATAATATGTTTGTGTTTGTATTTATTTATTTTTTTATCATTGTGGATGTATAATTTTTTTGCCTTCATGATTTTTCTATGCAAATGTTTATTTCTGGGAATGGGATCAAATCAAATTTGGATGGGAACTAATCAACTATTAATTAGATCAATTGGCAAAAAAAAAAGAATTGATCGTGTTTCACATTTGTCCAGCCTTGAACGCAATGATATAATATTGCTATTTTGCACTGCTAGACACAAAATAGGGTTAGAAAGGAATGCCGTAATTTTTCAGATGCTAACCCAAATCTGCAAATGCAGAATTGTAAACAATGTAATCATTAAAATTAAGAAGTCACTCATAGCAAGAAGAAATATAGAAAAGTTTAGGCAACATCCTAGTCCCACAAGAGAACTTGATATGAGTTATAATAACTTATGAATTTTTAACTCAGTGAAAGTATTGAAACTAATAGCCTACATATTTAATTTTTTTCTTGATAATAAATGTTAATTAAAAAATAATGCACTGCCAATTACTGTGGGAACTACATGGATACTTAATTTGGATATAATGGACAATACAATCAATCAATTGCTGGCTGCTGTTAATGTATCTTTTCTGTTAATAATTTTGGATGGTTGTTATTTTTATACATTCTTTGATTATTGAATAATCCACAACGTGAGAAAAAAACAAAACATTTTTTCAAAATAGGGTGTTATTATTTTTTGATGTCATTTTAAATATTGAAAATTGCATTTTGCTACCGGTATGACAGAATTTTTTTGACTTTCTTTCTCCAGTTCTCAGTGTCTCATGAGTTTCAGAGATGAATTTTGGCGTTTGCTTATAATGTTTACGTAGTCTATACCGATACCAGATTTTCAAATGACAGAATGAAGCCTACTACAGTGTTCCCCGAAAATAAAACCTAGCCTGAATTTTAAAATTATTTTAATATAAGCCCACCTCTTTTAAATAAGGCCTAACTTATTCAATAACGCGAACACGTTTGAATTGATGATGATCTATGTTCTGCTGTCATTTTGAATAAAAACGTGTTATTTATAAGTAGATAGATATCTTTTTTTCATATTTGAAAATCTCGTAATTCTCTACTTTGTAATTTTGTTTTTGGTAAATGAAAATAAAAGCAATCCCCCGAAAATAAGCCCTAGAGTTATTTTGCAGAAGAAAATTGAAATGTGACCCTGTTTTAATTTCGGGGAAACACAGTATGTCGTCTGTTTTGTGTTTTACATATGGCAATGTCTGAATTTTCTGATGTAATTTTAGAGATTATTTTGTATAAAAACAGATAATCATTTTGTGAATGATGAAATACTTTTTGTTAATATGATATTCACATGATTATGAAATAACTTTAATACTCGGCTTAGTCTACAGCTACTGCCTGACTGATGTACTGCAGTAGCCCAACTAGCCTGTATCTCTATACAGGGCATCGCTGTTTTATAATTTGAACTCCATAATTTTAAAATATTTCCGAATTTTTTATGCTCGAAACATGTAAGTATTGTTTCTCAAGTACATCAAGTATAAGTTTAGTTTGACCGCATGATCATCATAACAGACGATAAAGTAATTGATAAAAACAACCAAACACATGCACGTTTTATCGTTTATAATGCTGATTATGGGATCACAATAAGCTTATACTTGTACATAGCAAACAAAAAATAAATGAATAAATAAAAATTACTTGCCACACCATATTATTATTAATTTTCTGATGGTTGCCAAATTGAGTATTGATTTTGTAAACAAGAGTGAACAGTAAAGAAAAATAATGAATAAAAAGATATCGCCAAGCTGATTATGATTACAACAAATCAATCAGTAAAAACAATAGTTCCTAAAATAAGTTTGTGTCTCTCCCAGTAATTCTTGTGCTAGTTCAGTAGTTATGCAATGACAAGCGATGCAATGCTACTAAGGCTTACTAGGAAGTTGCTTTGATCGTTGAGCAGGTAATTATCTGTAGGTCGTGTTTGCTATCAACCCGAATTTCAAAACTTGAGCTTCTCAAGTATTATTTTACCATGGTTATTAATAGTCAATTCATTTACTATTGGTAAACTTCTTGTTCAGAATGCTATATCAGTTTAGCTGTTTTTTTATCGAAAATGGAAAGTGAACATGTGTTCATGATACCTTTTCGCACTGTCAGAATTGGAACATTGAAAACATTTCCTCCAAGAGATCGTCGAAATATTCCACTTCAGTTTTCAAAAGAAACAATATCTTTCAGTGCTGTATTGGAACAAAAAGGATATAATAAGAATGCAATACAGTTCAATATCCCTTCAAGAGGAATTGTACTCATTGAAGCACATCTCAAAGTTGGATGTCCCGTTATTTGGATTACTTTTGATTCTGATACTGCAGAAAGGATAAGAAGAATTACAAATATGCATTTAGAAACAGAGCCGGCATCGTATCTCGATCCGGACTCAAATGAACTTGCCGAAAAAAGATTATGTATTATTCCTATTCATGATCCTGTCAAAGAATCCCAAGTTGAAATTTTTTATAAAGTTGTGCGAAGCATTGCTGATGAAAGAAATCTGGATTTTACTAAAATTTTCCATGAATTATTGAGATCGGATTGTAATAGACAATTAATTCGTTGTACCCAATACATAACACAACTCACTAAGTTTCAAAACTCTTTCCGAACGAAGAAGGATATTGAAACAGAAACGAAAAGTGCTGTTATTGTCACAAAAACCGTTTCAGAAAATAAAAATGAAGATGAACATGATTTTATCATTATTGCATCAGATGAAGAAGAAGATTCAAATATGGATTCACTGTCGACAAAATTAGAAAAAAAGAACAAAAAAATAGGATCCAAGGATGTAAATAATACAAAACATCGTCGCCAAGCTGACTATCCCTCCGGGATATCCTCCCATAGATCGCATTCATATAAATTCCAAAAAAAGGAGTATGTTGCACCCAAACGTAAATCATCTCCTGATTTAGTTGATTTTGATAAAAATTATATTCCAGAATCCCACAGATTTAAACATCAAAAATTTGAAACTTGACTATTTTTTACCTTGGAAATTGAAATATATTGAAAATATATTATAAAATATTGATATATAAATAAGTGGAAAAATGCGTAAGAACAGGTTTTTTTAGGACAAAAACATTTTAACTTTATCTGGACTGATTTCATATATGTTACAAGCTATAAATCCAATAGATTTCTTACTCTTTATTTATAGGTCTTCAGACTCTCCCTACTTATCTGAACTGATGTGCTTTCAAAATCAAATGATTGTCTTTTTATATAGATTTTTCTTGTGAGAATCCTCATTCAGTGGATGACTGATCTTTGATATTTCATATTTAATAATGAAAGCTTGTTTTGTTTTTGAATTTTTTTCCTTTGTATTACCTGGTCACATTATGCTCGAATCTTATTTGCCGAATTCAGACTTCATATGATTTACCATGATCACGATATCACAATTCATATTTCCAGTACTTTTTCTTTTTGTATATTTATTTTAATCATTGAAAGCAATATCATGATGTATAGTGCAAGTTTTTCCTATAAACACTCAATATTCCTATCTACCAGTGGTTATTATTTGCCTTTTTATTCTATACAGCCATGCTTATCATGTTTTTTTTCTCGTGTCTGTGCCTGTTACTTTGCCTATATGAAACTACTCATCATAATAGTATTATATCATAGCATTTTTTTGTTAAATTTCATTTTTTTTTACAATCTTATTTGTTTTATTCTCTAGGTTTATATTTATAATAATAGGAAATGAAAAATTTTGTTATACCGTTTCATCTTCAAGACTTACAAAATTCAACGCCGTCTGCGACACAATATGTCGTTGAAGAAGTTTTCTCCAGTCGTATGCTGCCGATAAAACTACAAAGTGAATATCATTTTTTATATTTTGTAAAAAGAGTTTGATCGAATTGAAAACAAAAGAATAATAAAAAAAGAAAATTTAGTTTGACCAAAATTGAACTAAATATATTATTAATTGTGTCATATGAAAACAACTATGATTTATGACCATGTCAAGTATGAATATCAAATAAGCCTGTTTTTATTTTATCCTGCATGTAAATATCATATTTAAGTGATTGAAATTAACCAACTTGTAGACAAGTTGGCGAGTTTATGGCTCAAAATGACAAGTTTCCAAGTAACATTATTCCAAATAATTCATGAATTAAATTGTGCAATTTATTGCTTTAATAATTAACTTCGGTTAAAAGTTTTGTAGTAATGGTGTAATGGTTTTTTATTCTGATCAATATTGATTACCAATAATCCAAAACCACCCTTGGAAGAAACTAATTATTCTTATTTTTAGATGCAAAAATTGCTTTTGCAAGAGATGGAGGACTTGCAGTACTGGAAAACTTTGACGTGATCTACAGCGTCGTTTCGAAATTTAATGAAATAGACCCAGTTGTGAGACAACAGACATGGGAAATGTTACTCAAAAGTAATAAATATTTGTAATCTTTTTAACAGTATTGTAGGATTTTGGTTTTTAGTATTTTTGTATATTATCGAATGTTGAGGAATTTATACTACTCTAAATGTTTGTTTTTTTAATTTCATTTAAAATTCTTTTTTTTCATTTACTTAGCAATAGTAGAGGTTTGCCCAAGTATCGAATTGTTTATTTCTGTAACATTGACTTATCAGCAAAATGTTAAAGGTGATATAGCAGTTAAACTTTAGTAGTCAGTAGTCACTCAGTCTCAGACACTTTTTTCATGAAGACAGATTTTGTAGTCGTTATTAGCCCCTTTTGTGACTTTGTTGCTACCTATTTGTTCAGAGTTTGTAGTGTTTCCGAAGTTATGAATTCATTGTAAAACTGATATTTGGACAATATGCTCAAGTTACAAGTACATGTATGAAGTAGGGTAGGGGTTGGTTACCTACGGCACACGGGCCGGATCTGGCCCCCGACGGCCACTAAATTATATTAACAAAACGGCTGTTTTAAACATTATATTCTTTACGTAACATAAATTATTGTGAGATACGCGTAGACTGAATTATATTATAACTTAACAGGTATATAATTTACAATTACTTGTTTAATGAGCCTATAATTTAATTATAGTGGTAGACAAGTGGCAACAAAACGCAGAAAAGTTGATGCTAGGTGCAATGGGTTCAATTGTGCAGAAAATATTCAAATGAAATTATTTGAGATGCAATGCAATGAGAAAATAAATCTATGTTCTATTCGAGATATGTATCACTGCTCAATTTTTATAAAAAGTATCTTCTTGAAGAAAAGCTGTATCCAAATATGACAAATCATGTGAAAAAATTCACATCGATGTTTGGAAGTAGCCTACATATGCATGCGAACAATTATTTTCGAAATGAACATTACAATAAACAAGCGGAAAACTCAGATGAGCGATTCCCATTTTCAAAATGTTTTAATCTTGGCTGGATATCCATCCAGTGACTATATCCAGTGCAACCCCTATATTTGGTCCGCAAGCGACAAAAGGTTGCCGATCCCTGCAGTAGGGTATAGGGGTGTCCGGAGAATAAAATTCAAATTAAATGCTATTTCATAAAGCTGGTTTATATTAAGAATTCTGATGCTATTACTATGAATTAGTGTTTTTTCTCTATGAAATCATAATTTCCAATAAATTTTCTCATTTAGCTTGCAAGTCTTACAGCAACTTCTTGGGGAATATTCTCTCTAGTGGATCCTCAGGAGATAACCTTGCATCACCAACTCTTGACCTTGACGCTCGATTAAATTACAAGAATGCATTGAAAATGTTGATTTATCTGATGGTACAAATGACAGAATTATTTCAAGCTAAATATAATCAATCAACAGAGGCCTCAGCTTCTGTAAATGCTGGCAAAAAGCGTGGAAAAGGATCTAAAAATAAGACAAGTACCAGTCAAGGTATGTAAAATTTTGCTATAGTATCTTGTAACAGACATTGCCAAACCATTTTTAGCGGCCCAAGTCCAATCATTTGATTATTTTATCACATCATTCACATTCATAGTTTTCTTTCCACAGTCTTTACCCAGACCATAGTAAATCCTACTGTTAAAACTAAATATTATGCCAATTTGCTTTTCAAATGGAATAAAATAGCTATTGGCCAAGGATAAATGGTATTGAATCCATTTCTTATTTGCCATTAATTATCTTCGATTATTTTTATCTTTGGCTAGGATGAATTTAGTTAGGTTGTTTATCTTATGTTGTTCAGTACTTTCGTTATTCCATCTTAATTGTGGGACAATGGCTCAGCAGTTAAAAGCGTATACATAACTGTGTTGGCATCATCAATTGCACATCTGAGGTTCAAATCCCATTCTTTCCACCTCATCCAGGATCCTTTAAATTGGGTATACCAGGCCAAATCAGAAAGACTCCAGTCCTTCCAAATAAAAACTCCTTTGTCCTTACATATCGTGATTCGTGAGATATCATTGGCTGGTAATATATGCCTTGTTCAGAGTAGAAGACTTGAGAAGCATCTTATACCAAACTAGTAAATGAACAGGATCAAAGAAAAACGATCAGAAAATTAGTGGTAATGCGTAGTAGCAATATCAGGATTGCACCAAAGTGTCATAAAAACTAAATCTATTACTCTGTGCTTTCCAGAGATTCAGTGGACAAATGAATGTGAAAAATTGGTCCGACTTCTGATGACGTTTGTTGATCTTGATATTCATAGATTATGGGATCCTGAACTTGTTGAAGATGATTTTATAAAGTATGGTTTATGATTTTTATTCTTTACTTAATCTAAGTCAAGTCAATGTGGAAAAGAAAATTGGCTTTTATCCAGCTGCTTTGATAAGCAATCATTGGTTATTGAGATTCAGCACTGATGCCTATATGGTTTTAGAACCAGTAATCAAGAGATACTTATTATTGTGGCCTCAGTTTAAAGTCTGATTTATGAAGTTCATTTTTCAATGTTCTAAGTGGTGTAGCCATAAAAGTAAATTTTTTTAGGATTTTTTGCATAATAGCTTATGTGACCAGACCATACATCAAGGGGACTGACAATCGGAATTGTTCCAATATAGGCCTTAAATTAATTTTTGGCAGTATGTACCTCTACAACGAGTGGATATGTTCTTATGTATATGTACCAAGCATTAAGTGAGGATGAATGACAAATTAAATTCATATCCCCTTCTGTACATTTTAAATTGCATTTTGACATTGCCACTAGAATTGTAACTGCTATGAAAAATAGGTTAACTATGTCTTTTCCCTTTTGTGCTGCTGTTTAAATCTGACTCAAATGTGTAGTGTAATCATCAATCATATGGATGATCCTCAATTGACTTTTACAATGCTTTTCTTAGTGAAGACTTATTGAATATTTCTTTCATAGCCTATTTGGTTTATTCATGTACTGTGTCTCACTTTTATGTCAACTGCTTAAATATTAGAACAAATTAGCTTGTTTTTGAATTATTTACAACGTCTTTTTTTCTAGTTTGATCTGTAATATTTGCTATAAAATACTGGAAAGCCAAGAGTTGTTTAAAACTGGAGATGTAAAAGTTCCCATATTCCATGTCCTTGGATGCCTCATCAAAAAGTGAGTATGTTTGAATATGATTGAGTTATTTTAGTACTCTAATCTCAAATTGTCATATAAAATGAAAACCACATTAATAATGGGAATCAAAAGTTTTTTAGTATTTGTAATTACTAATTCTTTCAAGAAATGGATAATCTCTGCAACAAAATTTATATCCAATATTCACAAGTAAAATTTAAAGTGAAAGTGTTTCAGATTTGGGTAATAGAATTGCAAAGCCAAAATATGCACTGCCTTAATAATCCCCATTTGATTGTCCTTTGTTACATTGTGCCAAGCTGTAAGCTTCATCTACGATTTAAGTCCATGGACTTGTAACAATTTCCTGCTAACTGTTCCCCACATCTTCCTTTTATTAAAGGCAACTAGATAAAAAGACATCGCCTGTCATATTAGTCGACTTTCCTCATACCATAGAACAGTATAAAAAAGTTCTGTCATTTTCAAAATGGAATAACAAATAAAGAAAGCAGAAGTAGTTTTTGTCATTTGCTCCTAACAAGGCTCAAACTGAGTTGTTACCGAAATAAATTGAACTTCATGGTTTGAAAATACTGTTATGCTACAGATTCAGTGTTGTCCACCTAAATCATTGGGTCTTGTTTTGCACCGGGCAAACTATATCTCAAACTTGACATATCTTATCTATTAGAACAAACTTATGTTTCACTAGAACAAGCCTTTGAAACACGCTACACCTTCAATTTTATTTTAAATCCTTTTTTCATAGATTTGATCAATCAATGAGTGCAAGTTTAAAGTTGGTTCAACTTCTACAACATTTTCCACATCTATCGTCACCTCTAGCTGAAGCAGTTTCTTTATGGCAAAATACTTTCAAATGCAAGACTATTGTCTCAGGAGTTCTAAGGTAAGTAAATTCAGAAATGGTAACGGTAAATAGACCTTGGTCAGACAAATCGTTCCAGAAATATATTTGTGTTAGTGTGCAGCAAGACTCTTGAATCACTTAGGATTGTTATGTTTCTTTGAAATTCTTCCGCAATATAGAAAGTTATTCATGAAAATAAGTGTATATACATTTTTCATGAAATATTTCCATGCACTTTTCCTCTAAACATGTTCTTTGACATTTCGTTACCCGATTCACTTACACAATTAAATTAATTACAATTATTTTGGGAAGTGGTAATCATTAGTTTTCTTACCATTATAAGCTCAAATTTTTATATTAAATCATTTTATTTTTTGTTTTTAGAGAGATCAGTCATATACCAGACCAAGAATTTCTTCGAGATACAGACAGTACGAGAAACATCGGCACATTCCTTGTAGACTTAACTAAAGGCAGTCCTTCCGCTGTGCTTGCTAATTTCAGCTTGATGCTTGATCGCATGAATGAAGAGGTGAGAATCGATGTATGGAAAATTCTGCACATGGGTGTTGCCAAAAAAAAATTCGTCCAAAAAATCTTTTTAAATGGAATTTAGAGTTACAGTTTCATTTTATTCAGGAGGAATATTCCATGGAGGAAATTTCCCATTCCCCAGAAAAGTCCATTTATCGCGAAAAAATTGGCTCTAAAATCAGGCACTTTGTGGGTTTTGGTTGATTATTGGAGTACTATTTTTTTTAAATCAATTGTCTACATAGACAAGTTTTTTATTTTGTTTTCAGTCATATGCCATGAGAAACACAGTACTGGGTATGATGGGGGAAATAGTTTTGAGAAATTTAACTGGAGAAGAATTGGATGAGAAAGCCAAGTCCGTCAGGTACTGCTAGCCTTTGTTTTATCTCAAAGCTTCTTCAAAAAAAGGGTCAATAATTTGAAAAAAATAATTTCAAAGAGCTTTTTGTTGTGACATTCGTAGGATGTAGTATGCACTTTGTTGGTAATTTCAAATTTAGAGTCAATAATAATGGGGTGTCTTAAAATGTTGTGTCCTCTTGTATGAATCTCACTTCATATGCTCACTTTAATTCTTTGCCAAGCAATATATATATCTACCTTCAATCAGAATAGTTGGACAAGTGTGCTGAAAGGTGGCAAATTTAAACATAGCATTTTAAGACAATGAATGGTTCTAAACACTTTTTGAATTTTTAATTGTAATTCCTACTATGTCTAGTTATGTCATGTTTTTTTATAAATATGATTTGTGCCAAATTTACAAACTCTGCAAGTGGAACAAACAGCAAGTTTGAATTTTCGATTAATTTGATCGTTGACCTTAATTTTATTTGCTTTACATAAATTGATTTTGTTTAAAGAGGAGAGAAGTAGATAACTATCTGTGGTGTTTGTTGTTCAATCCACTTCTGATACTTTTCATCAACATGTTCATGTTTTTGAAAACTCAGAGTCCTTTGTTTCATTTTTCTTCATAATTTCAGGGATCAATTTCTAGACTACATGTATGATCATGCTAACCTGGATCCAAATGCTTTCACAAGATCAAAATCTTTACAAATTTGGATAAGTCTCGTTAAAGAACAAGCATTACCTATCAAGAGGTAAGAAAATTCGGGAAACAATACATGATATGAAAAACCATGCCTAATACGGGTAGCCATACTATATAATGTGGTTTTTCATAGGTTTATTATTAATAAGCCAAAATTTTTAACATTTTTTTTAAATTCAATTTTGTGGCATTTGCAGTAAGACATAAATTTATACGCCTTTTCCAACATCATTTTGCTCTATTCTTTTATGATTTACTGAAAGCTGGACTTTTCTGGCTTGCTAACAATAATCCTTTCACCAAATGAAGCAAGCAAGATATAAAAATTTGCTGTCAGAACTGTCAGTGGCTATTTTTATCTTGCTTTGTCGAAGCAAAAGGCAAAGTGAGCGTCGTATCATGTCATTATACAAAAAAGAAAATTTGTCTTTCCCCAAAATTTGGGCTGGCTACCCTCTCGTTCTAAGCCAGTCAGAGTTTTCACTGGAGTCTGAGCAAGAGTTGTATTTAACTCCCCAGTCCCCACAGTTGGAAATGTAGACTCTCAATATTGATGAAAGATTTTTTTTTTTACTGAAACTCGAAACACATTAGGTCCACCATTCTTTTAACAACAAAAGAAGTCTTGCATACGTCAATGTGGTATTATTGGGTTGTTTTCGTTTGCTATGTTTTAATATGGTGATTTGTCTGCACAAAAAGAAATACTTCATTTTCTTGCATTCTTTTTAGGTATCCTGATCTTGTTGAGTTGTGCTCAAGCTTGCTTCTTGACAAAAGTAATTTAGTTCGAAGATTCACAACTCAATTGTTGGAAACCATTTTGAGATTTAATCCCTTTGCATCTGAGGTTTGTTGAAGTTTGATTTGTCTTTGTTAATATTTCAATAATGCTCAGGAAGGCTGAATAGTTTTTATGGGAAAGGTCTGATGCTAAAATTATTTGAGAAATACAGTAATATCAGTGTAAATTCAAAGTAATTCTAGTTTAGTCATGTAAGGACTAGTATGATGGAGTTCGTCGGTTGGCACATCATGCTTAGCATGAGAAATATGCTTGCCACCACTGGCACTGCCACTGCTTGCCTCCGAGTTCATGGGACGTTGCAACTAACTGTTGGACGGTTACGACTTCCTCCATCATCAAGTTCAAGCATCTGAAACGAAGAACTGGTTAGCTATTCCCGTATCCGAGATGGACTGCTCGTCATATGATTGAGTCTCCTTATGGGATTACTTGTCCCCTGGAATAAACATAACAATCCTATCCAGATTTAGTAAAGCCGTATTGGAGTGTTAGTGTTACTGAATACCATCTATGATGCATCTGCCCTATCACAGGAACTAGCCTGTAGCCAATCCTAACTCATATCTTACTTAATAAATACAATTTTATAGATAATAATTACGAGAGTTATATTTGATAGAATAGGTGAAACTTTGTGGACTCAGCCCAATCCATTGCTTGTTATTGAAGTCTTTTTCATGAATTATTTCATGCGTCTTGTGTCTGACTATGACCATGATTTAGGTTTGTTTCTAATTACCTGGTATATTTTCAGCTTCCAATTGATGTGCTACAAGCTGGATACAATGATGCAAAACTTAAATTAGAACAATTAATAAAAGAAGAAGAATCGGGTATGTAATAATAAGTTGATATTTTTGGTTCTTGGGATTTAACCTGCATCTCTTGCACAAAGTGTGTTGACTGGCAATTTATATTTGAACATTACCCAGAGTGTGAATAACACATTAAAATATAGACACTGTGGCTATACAAGGCTCTACATTATTACCCACTAATATTCAAGCAGCTACTATGTATGAAATTGACAAGGATTATTCAAATTTAATGTGCGGGATAGACCCTATTTATTACACCCTGATTGGTGATGGTTGGGGTTTGAACTTGGGAACTAAAACCTATGAATCCTATTTTTTCTAACTTCAGCAGGAAAAGAGAAATCTGATGACGCTCAAACAAGCCAAGATGATGAAACTGAGAAGAATGATGAGGAGGATTCTGAGAAAACCGACACAATTGATGTGTTTGTTGATGAAGTACCTGAATCTAACAATTCTCAAGAAGAAAATAAAACCGAAAATCCTGAAATTACAAAACAAAAGGTTGATCGATTTTTTGTATGCTGTTTCCTCTCATGAGGTTCTAGTCAATATAACGGTCAGAAATCTTTCAAACAAGCCATATGTAGCTTTCAAACAAGCAGTAGAAGTGGATTTGTATGAGATTTCGGGGGGGGGGGGTACATAAGAGTGTTCATTCAGTAAAATTAGGGCAAAGCAATCAAATTTTTTGGGAAAAAATGGCGACATCGGAAGGTGAAGTTGATCAAAAAGGCAGTTCTGCTGTTGGCATAGCAGTTAACACATCTCAGGTTGAAATCCCATGCCCTCCACCTCACCCTTGTTGTAATGAATTGGGTAGCTGGAATGGAAAGATTTCAGTCCTTCCGAATTAATGTAACTACTTATCTATGTTCGTTCGAATAAGAATCCGGGAATAAGCATTGTTTTTACTTCTGTTTTACAGGAAATCGTCAACTACCTCTCAAATTCTGTGAGGTTCGCTTGTCAGTTTCACACTTGTATTCCTGTGCTTTGTGAGTTATTGAGGTCAAGAGTTCATTCTGATATTATCGAAACAATCAGTTTCTTCACGGCAGCTTGCCAATTCAAACTCAGTTCAGCATTCATAGGAGTAACTGCAATGTTACAGCAAATCTGGCATGAGGAACCAAAAATTCGCGAAGCCGTTGTTTCTGCATACAAACAATTGTACTTTACTCCAGAAGCAACTACTGCAAGGTATTTCATTTCACTGGAATTTTTTCGTATGATTGCTGTGTATAAGGCCATATGAGCTAACATGTATGTGATAGTTGGCCCACTAAGGAAGGGCCTTATAGTATGACTAAAATGCTTGTATTATTAAATTCAAAATTGTTGAATATATATTGACTTCTTCTATATATTCTCTGATGGACATGCCACATTTATAATTGAAATTTTCCAATATTTTTTGCAATCTGTGGAGTGAAAATGTACAATCGACTCATGGTTGTAAAAAGTTCCGACTTGACTCCAATTTCAGAGAAAATTAAGTTTTGATAAAAAAAAACTTTGACATATGTAAGCATTCTTTGGTAAACAAAAATTGAAGTCATTATATCAACGTTGAAAGTGTGAAAATTTGACACTATACTCGAAGTTTCGACTTCTGACTCGAGAGAATTTAAGAATTACACTCCGGCTTTGTATTCTGTGAAAACATGCCAAATCCACCGCTCAACAGTCTCATGCACATTGTTAAGTATTATTTTTCTCATGTTCCAGAGCTCGAGCAAGTCTTATAACGGACAGTCTGATGACCTTGATGTCGGTGTCAACCGAAGGTAAAATCAAATCAATCGAAGCATTACTCAATCATCTGAGTAAGAGCGGAGATATACCAGATGGAGTAGCACAGGTTAGTTTCTTATTTATGATCAGTAACATCCTAATTGACATTAATTTTTTGAGTTTTTTTTTTTAATTATTCAAAATTATTTCAAAATTCAACAATTAAAATTCCTAATATAATTGATGTTGAACTAATTAGAATATTTATTTCATTTGGATCACCCATGTATATGATATCTTGATTATTATTTTTTGTTTCAACCCCTGCTATCAGTAAAATAGTATCAAATGAATATAGTTTTGATCCTTTTTTTGTTAAAAATATAGAAATATGTGATAAATTTGGTTATTTCTAGGCTGATAATGAAGTATAATAAATAAATAAAACTTTTATTCAGATTCTTTGGGATCGATTCACTAAACCAGAATTGAACAATAGTTCATCTGTCAATATTCTGGGTTCATACGAACAACAAAAACTTGCTGTTCAATTGCTCGGATTTTTGGCCGGGTAAGTGTCTTCATTTCGTATTAAAACTGGGGACTATTACAAGATCATGTGCTGATGAATTGGATTTCCTTATCCTTGTTAGTTAAATTATTGATTTTATTACACAAAAGAAAAAGGAATACTGATTTTGCCCAAGTTTTGAGGCATTTTATTTTCCTTTCACGCCAAGCTCGATTTGACACGAAGTTGATCTATGGATCGTTTTACTGAATTGGGGTTTTTGTAAAAAAACTCTCTCTGCAACTAATGGACCGATGTATTTCAAATTTTTAAGGCCTTAAGATGTAAGAAGTTGCCAGAAGGCTATTACTCTGGCTTACTTACTGTTTCTGAGTCCTAAAGGACCAGATATTTGCCCCAAATTTGGTACTCCCGAAGTATGTAAACCAAGATGGCGGACACCGGTACATAGTATGTAGTACATAGTACGTAATATGACTAAAATAAGAAAAATCGGAATAAAATTATGGCCTAACCCTAACCTGATACACATACTACGTTCCGGTGTCCGCCATCTTGGTTCACATACTTCGGGAGTACCCCTAATTTCACTACTTTTTCATAATCCCCATCGGTGCTATTTTATTTTAACCTTGGCAAGTGGGTTTCTATCTTTGCAAGAGTCGTTCGCTTTTTTGTGTCTAATATTTGAGCATTTCTCTCTTTTTCGTAAGTATATAAAAAGTCATCATTTATAACTTTATCTAAGACTTAAATAAAAAAAGGGATCAACTTTCACTAAGATTAGGAACCGTTGAATAAAATTAGTTTGTTTTATTATGTAGAACGAATCCATCAATCGTAAAGAATAACATTGATGTTCTTGTTACTCATGGATTGAAGAAAGTTTTATCAGATTTTCCTGAAGATATTTCTCATACAATTGATTATTCTCTCGCTCTGTATACAACGAGGACTCTTGCACAACTTCGTACAAAACAAGCTCTTGCAGGAAAATATAAAAAGTCGATGAGGTTGCCACAATCTCATGATATCTTCACATGCTTGCAACAAATGATTGTGAAAGGTGGGATAAGAATTGTTTCATCTAATATACGTTACTGTACTCATGTTGGATTATACATTGGAATTATTTATACAAACTCTTATTAAGTTGGTATGTGAATCGTTAATGGTTAATCGGTTAACTTAATTTAGTTAGTTGACCATTACTACAATCAATTTTACCTGTTAACTGTCACTTCCGATCATTTGCTAATATACAGACACATAATGAAAATGAAATTTAATGAAATTTGCACATATTTATCTGTCAGTTGTCCTTTAATCATAATAGAAGTCTGAGTCAGTTTTTGATTAGAATACTTTAGGAACGGTTTGTACCTCTTTCGTGAAATTATCACCCATATCATATGCCGCAGGCCGCAGAGTATATTGAGCGATAGGCTCAAAGTTTTGAGTTTTTTGTCTAATTGTCATATGAAACCGATTTTGGAAGCGGTAATTTAATACTTCATTTCAACTTTTTCAGGATATAAGTTTCATTCGGACAACTGGGAACATTTTACTTCAGAAACAATAGCTTTGATCTATGATTTATCAGAAAATCCAGATAAGTTATGCGAGACGATCATACATGAAGTTCTGAGTATTATTTCTGACAATGCAAATTGTGATGGTGAGAATGTTTTCATGTACTATTTACTACATTGATTCGATTATCATGTCATTCATGGAGAAAAAAATCAGGTCTGCGGATACGAAGTTGGCATGTTTTCGTTGGCTTCTAGATGGAATTCTAAATTTATAAGATATTAAATGCTTATTTCTGCTATTTGCTTTGATTTTCAAAAATATGATTTGATCCAATTTTCAAAACTAATATTACAAATGACAATGTCAATTTATGCAAACGTACACTTCTTTCAGAATACATAATAAAGGCAAATTTATTTTCATATAGAGTTATTCCAATGTTATTTTTACTATCTTTTAATATTTTTCATATTCTCAGAAATATTGAAGAAAGAAATGTTGATGACCAGATTCTACTTGATCTGTGGACAAATCACAATTAAGCAACTTGTGTATTTGGAGGTTTCTGTTCAATCTGAATTGAAGCAAAGAAGGTAAGATCAAATTGATAATTAATATAAATTCAAAAATGATATAAATGCATGTTAGTGTGGAACAAGAAAATCCGCAAATGCAAGGGGTTTAACTTAGCTCTTTTGTTTGGCATTTTGGCAAATTTTCAATTTATTCATTTAACTGTAACATTTACATGTAGATAGTCTACTCCAGTGTGCTGGAGGTGAACTATGAAAAAAGGGCACCAGACTAGACGATCTGGTATCAACCAAAACAAAGTTTTCTATTCTGCATGACCAAATCCTTTGAATTGTATAAATGGGACAGTTATGATGTCAAAATTAAAACTGATCAAACACTGGCAAATATTTCTGATCTGACTTTTTCGTTTCCCATTTTTATCTTTGTGATTTGTTACTTCCATTTATTTGTTTAGAAAACTGAAAGACGAGAAAGAACACGCAGAGAAAAAGAAGAAAGAAAATCAAGAAAAGAAGAAAAATAAAAGGAAAAGTTTAGGAGATGCTAAAGTATGTTAAAACATATATACTTTTAACTGGGTTAGAATAATTTGTGTAGCATATTGGCAATCCTTGGTTTAAATCTTGTCATTTTCAGTCGGAGTCAAACTTAGAGGAAGACATGGGTGTTGGTGGTGCCACGGCAGATGACGTCGAGCAAGAATTTATCAGAAATATAACAGAAAATGAATTACTCGCCAAAGATAATTTACTCGGACTTCTTGCACCAACACTCGTCCGTGCTTGTCTTGCTCCGATTCATGCAGATCAACAAGGAGAAGTAGCAATTCAAGCTACGGCTTCTCTTGCTTTAGCCAAATACATGCAAGTAAGTAAACATAAGCATAGAGTTTATCGATAAGATAGCTGGGTGGACAAGTGTGCCGCAAGACAGTGTTCCCATGTCACAAAAAGTGTTCCCAAGAATTTAAATAAATATAGTAGGAGATATTGGGCTCCTTATTTTGTGAAATAAATGAAAATTTGAAATTAATTGAGTTATTAGTCGCAGAGAAAAGCGACTTTTCCATGGCAACCTCGATTGGTCCAACTAAACTAACATGAATGAGCTAGCAAAACAATCCACTTTGTTACCATTTACTGTATGCTGCCTCAGCCATTTTCTTCAGCCTTACACAGCAGCCTATTTGACTCGAAACTAGTAACGTACAAGGGTTGTGGTGCACTCAGCCTTTTTCTTTCCCTTGGGTGAATATCACAAACTCTACGTTTCTCAATTTTTCATTTTTGTTTTAGGTCAGCTCAAAATTTTGCGAAGATCATCTCCAGCTTCTGTTTACATTGCTTGAAAAAAGTCCCCATGAAGTTGTCAGAGCTAATCTGGTTATACCAATAGGAGATTTATGTGTGAGGTTTCCAAATCTTCTAGAACCATGGACTGCGCATTTGTATGCCAGGTAAGGTTATTAGGTATGTGTAGCGAGAATTCACATGGTGTGACTTTTTTGAGTGCACTCATGATAATGTAAGAAAAAAATTACCCCTGAAGCAGATGTAAGCAATTATTATAACTCAAAACCAATAAACAATGTGTCAACAGTGGTATATTGTACTTAAATGATTCTAATTCTTCTTGTGACCTTAATTCATGACTTGACTCAGCGGTTCCCAAACGAAAAAAATGTGCTTTTAAATAAAGCACACTTTTGTGATCGTAAATGTGTACTTTTTCCTTTTTCAAAATTTATAAACATGTTGGCCCCCTAAGAAATAAAGGCGAAAAGTCAACTTCTTCATCTCTGCCTGATTTTCTTGGAAATCCTAAAATAATAGTCATGTTCGCTAAACTCGGTTTAGCAGATAAATAAACTGTAGCTCGCAAAATTGCAGCAAGTAGTGTCTATCTCTGTTGTTACATAACAATAGACACTACGTAACAGAAAGTTAATGACAGAGACAGGCAAAATGGATTTGTGAATTCACATACACAGTATTTAAAAAAAGAAACAATAAAACATTTATATTAAATACAATATGTAAAATATTCAATCATATTTTAGTTAAGTTAAACATATTCAGATAATTTTCACGGCGCATATAGCAACTCGTCGCAGCACACCTTTTGAGAACCGCTGACTTAACTTCCTGACGTTGTGAGATGTCCACTCTCCTATGTTATGTAGCATATAAAATGACCTTCAAAATAAGACCTTATCATACTAGCTTTTGTTATTGGTTAGCGCGCAATGCCAAGGTTTATTGAATTATTTTCTTGTTGTGCGACGTTTTTCTATCGCAGCGGGAAGTACACTCGTGAAATGTAAGCTATATTTTATTACTTCCAAATGTCATATAACGTTCATTCTTATATTGCTGGGTAGGAAATGAGCTTTTCTTCCAAACAAGACCATAACAAACATTCCAGACCTCATGGTTTACACACAGCGTCTGAAATTGCGCTAATGTACCGATTCGCTAGGAACAGGTTAACTCCTAAACTAACTATATGTGGCCGACGCAGCTGCTAGTAGCACTCGATACCCCATGTTAGAGAACAATGTTTCAAGCCCTGATTTGTCCGATTACCCTTTTCATTTCTTACCTTTTCCCCCATATATATATAGCCCCTCTTATAGCTGGTACATCGCCTTCTTTGAAAGAAAATATATACATCATTACACAAAAAAAGATCTTTCAAAATCATATTGTCTGAAGCAGGAATATTCCAATAAGACTGTAATTCTATCTTTAAAAATACCCTTTTAACTTATTTCTTGGACATTCGATTAAGATTACTTTCAGGAATAAATTCTTTTTTTATTTTTCATGAATTTATAGACTTAAAGATGAATCACCACTTGTACGAATCTACGCTGTGAAAGTTCTCTCCAATTTGATCTTGAATGACATGGTGAAAGTGAAAGGACATGTTAGTGAGATGGCAAGATGTACTGTTGATGAAAATGAAAGAATTTCGTCGCTTGTTAAAAAATTCTTCCATGAACTTTCAACCAAGGTACGTGTTATATTGCCAGTTCTGGGAAGTTTAGAGCGGACTTCTAACTTTTAAAAAAATATGACCTTTGACCCTGGGTTGACGAGAATTTTGACTTTGACTCCAGGTTGAGAATTGTCTGTTGGGAATGCTTCGTCAACCTAAATTCTTTGGCGGTTTCTGTCAGAATTTTTGACTTCGATTATCACCATTGAACTTGGGAAAGTTCAAATATTCGACTTTGGGAGTTTGAAAACACGACTGCATTTCGACTCCAATATCAATAAAAGCATGCAAAACTGCGTTACCGCAGCCCAGGTCATGGCCATCAATTTTTTTATTCGACGCTCATTCATTATTTTGCTTCAAACAAAACCATACAAACAGCCACTGATATCTAGGACCTAATACAACTTCGAAAGGACAAGAATCTATCTTACCCCTCTAATCAGACGCTGGGTTAGGTGCGGGACTTGTGTCATATCCATTTCTTTTTAAAACATTCCCTTCAACTCTAATTTGCAGAAGTTATTCAATTTATATTTCTGATTTCAGGGGAATTCTATATACAACGTAATGCCGGATATAATCAGTCGATTATCAGATCCAGATGTCGGTGTACCGGATGATGAACATTTCCAAACTATCATGAAATTTCTATTTTCCTTTATTCATAAAGACAAACAGTCTGAAAGTTTGGTTGAGAAGTTATGTCATAGATTCAGTGCAACAAGGTAGGCACATTTATTTATAGTGATTGGTGAACTTGCTTTTGTGCGCATTAACTATCATAATCATAACACAATCTAAATGTCCAATTTGGCATTTTTTTTTACAAAATTGATTGATATTTCTTGGAACACTCAAAATTATTTAGCATTTACTAGTCACAGTTTGGGAGCCCACTGCCCGTAGGTTTCAGTCCATTTACACAGCTTGATATAGAGTAGACGAACGAAATTAGTCACCTTCATATTGGTACACATACTTCTGGAGCGCCGAACAATGAGCCAAATTTGCTGGTGCTGATCTCTTTGCAATCATGCTATGGAAATGGATAATGCCCATATTTGAATAGTTTTGTATTAAATATATTTCTCTGTTCTGTATATCATTCCAATTTCAACATAGATACACTTTATTATAATGAACAGTGCTCTTCTGAACTTCTGAATTTGTTTATGTTCTCAGCTTTTGTTTTTTATTCGTTTATTGTCGTGTCAGTATACCCACTTTTCCAAAAATTTCAGTGATGTTGGATTCTTTAACTCGCATCTGTTTTTCTGATCGTATTGCCGTTGCCGATTGTATCTTTAAATCTTGTGTTGTTATTTTATGGTGCTGCTTTGTGTGAATTCTATGTAAAAAAGAAGTTTTCATTCTCTTGTATATCAACAAATTTTAAATCACATATTTTTGTGAAAATTCATTGTTGTTGAATATCACATTTTAAGTAAATCATGTCTTGATCAATTTTTCAAATTTTTATTGTTACAGGACTCGAAGACAGTGGCAAGATCTTGCATTCTGTTTGTCTTTGTTGTCGTATTCTGAAAAATCCATTCGAAAATTACAAGAAAATTTCACTTGTTTTGCCGATAAATTATTTGACGAACAAGTCTATCAATGTTTTGCAGGAATTATAAACAAGTCGAAAAAAATCGCAAAACCGGAAGTAAAGGTAATTTTCTAATTCTTGAATTTGTTATCAGCTGGAATTTTTTTGAAAAAAAAAAAAATTGATCAAAGCAAAGCCACACAAAGTCACCCACGCCAACTCATATATATATAGAATTCTGCTAGTAGTGAATCAGACTGAACCCCTAGTCTACTTATTGTAATATCTGGCTGGAATGTTTAGTTTTGGCGATTTTGGTATGTATGATTTATGAAGTTTTGATTTGAAGTTCATTACTTATCGATCTTAAGATCGGATATTTATTAAGGTAAGGTATTTGTCTGTTTGTTTGTTTGTCTGTCTGTTAGATGCACGCGATATCTCACGAAAACGAGATTGAATCTGCTCCAATTTTTGCATGTGCATTCACCATAGCTCGAACCAGAAGCCTATTGATTTTGGATGAATTATGTCGTATAATTAGCGAGTTATTATTTAATTAGTGATGGGACAAACGGTGTCACTATGGAGTGAGAGCGCTGTTTTGGGGGATCTCCTAACTTTCGATCGATAGGTGTTCGGTCTCCGACCGATATTCTCGTTTTGATTTTGATTTGCAAAAAATCTAATTGTCTATCATTGAAGAATGTAATGTTTATCATATCTCATGATTTTGCCGCACGGTAGATAACTTCATAAAACTTATAAAATGTAATAAACTGAACAAAATTATTCCGAACTGCCTGCTTTTGAAAATATACATCTGTGTGGTGTTTTATTGATACAATATTGGACCTGTTATATTAACAATATTTTTACAGTGCAGTTATTATTAAATTTATAATTATTACCCAGTTAAATTGATCAAACTAGGATTCCTCAGTTTATTCAACCCATTTATTTCTCTCAGGTTCAAGTAGATGAGTTAGAGGTGTTAATTGATGAATGTCACCAAAAAGGAGTTAGCGACGATCAAACAGCTGCTAAAGCGGCAGCAGTTGTCAAGAAATCAAGGTATTTTTAGTTTTAACAATTCAAGTCCTATGTTGTCATTATTTTGGTTTATTAGATTAATTTATTTTGTACAGACAAAGTTTTAACTCGTAGCTTTGAGGTAAGGCTGTGTAGTTAAGGAAACAACCCAACCCACCCTAAACTCTAAGCCATTTAAAAAACTACTCCTAATTCGAGGTTGACAAAAATTTTGACTCTGACGATGGCCCCCAACCCCAGGTTATGGGTCATTATGGCGTTGACTTCAGCTCCAAATTTTGATAACAATAGCTTTTGCGCACCCATTTTTTAAATATGCATAGTGAACTCGACGTTAAGTTGGGTTTCTGTCGAAACTTCGGTTATCATCATTTGAAGTCCTAGGAACTTGAAATTTCCATTCTTGATTTTAGGGAGCTCTTATAAAAAGTGTATCTTTTTCATCATCTTTGTGTATAATTGATTTTAAACATTCGACATACATTGTGTTTTTGATAGGAGGATTTCAAGCATACGATCGCCAAGAAACGTTATTGCATGGCCCGCAAAATCACCATTGCCGAAAGAGGGGTTTCCTGGTGTTGCAGGTATAGTAAATAGCATTAATGCTCTTTCCCAGGGATGGGCAAAGTCGATATTAATATTTATAATACAACATAACAATTTTTTTTTTTTTTTAATTTTTGAAATGTTTAATTCAATTATTGGATTGCTTTCATTTGGGAATAATTTTTTCGTCTGTTTGAATTTTAACTGTCTTTTGTTGAGTGGGAGTCGTATGAAACTCCAAATCTTGGATGATGCATAATGTTAGGAACGTCTCATTCTCTGCTTGCTTATATTTTCATCGCTATTTTCAAAGCCATGTATTTTTCTCAGCAAATTGCTCATTTTTTCATGAGTTTTCTTTGCATGATCTTAATTATTCATTTTCTCTTTTTGATTAGACATGTACGTATACATCTTATTCAATGATTAAGCTAACTTTATTAAGTGTAAAACAATTATCCAAAGACTATTTGGATCTGTTATTGCAAGTCTCGTTCGACCTGCTGCGTACTTTTCCGGGACTGATTGTCGGTTTAAACTATGGATGTCCTTATATCGTTAGTTTCGTTCTGAAAATTTGATTTCACAATTAATTTGGAATTTGAATATTCAGCATGGTTATCATATTGTTTTGTATATTTTATTTTTACTCAAAATTAGGCTTGTTTCACCGGAAATTTACTGCAAAAATGACATTTTACTTAAAATCTGAAATTTCTTATTTCCTCAAAATGGATATTTTTGACTAACGTTAAGTTGAAATTTGGGCATTCCTAGTTTCGATTTTGACCATCATGGTTATTATATAAGTGTAAGGTTTAGGTTACTTATACTTGCGCAATATTTTTATATTTTTTATCGCATTACGCTCAACACCGCATTTCGTTTCACGAATCGCTACGCGTTTTCAGTTTATCCTAATCGCCGATCAATAGATGCTGATTTAGGGTAGGTAATTTTTTTGGTGGATTTTTTTTTTGTTATTGCTACCGGTAGCTTGGATGTGACAGGGTAGATAGACCACAGTTGCAGTTATTAGTGTAGTTTATTACTTTTTTCTTTTTGTAAGTATAAAGGGGAAATTGTTCTGGGTGTAATTTTAAACCATTTTTAAAGTGTGTTATATAAATGTGAGTGCTCAATAAGGTTTCTGTCATAATATATTCAGAAAAAATGCTTCAATTTTAATTAAAAAGTAATGAATATTAAAAAAGTAATAAAAAATAAAATGAAAGATATTCCTGATTGCCTGATTGAAATTTTTCTCAATTCTAGTAGCTGCACATTCGAAAATTATGATTTCAATAATGTTTTTTGATGAATCATTCACTTGCAACATCACATGATAAATATTCTCATGACGATGCAAAAAATCTTGATGTTGGATATCTGTTGTTTATAATTCATCAGTTGATTATCTGTGGTTCGACAAATACCATTGATTTGAAAATCAATTATCAGATGCTGCACATTTTGTATTTATTATTTCTATTTTTCGAGTTGGGTCTATCTATTTTGTCCATCCCTGGATTAATTTAAGTAATGTTACTTTACTTAATTTACTGTACTATAATTATTGTTTAAAATATATTTTTTATAAACATTCTTCAACTATACCAGGCCATACTTCAGGAATGAAAGATCTTCTCGATTTAACATCGTTACAAGAAGTAATTCGAGCAAAATATTCGAACTTTGTACCTCCGTCACCTGGTAAATATCCTATTTTTAATTATCTTGTAACTTAAATTTTACAATTATTAACGCTGGTTTCAAAGTTGGATATCGATTTGATGTTTGAAAGTTTAAATAAATAAAACAACAAAATTGAATAAACATGGTGATTTATATCTGTCACCAGTAATAAATGTTGACCTTTTCCCATTTTCAACTCTGCAGGCATGCGTCCCACTCCATTGTTATCCCTCAAATGTGATTTTAAGATAACTCTATTTCCTTTAAAAAAAAAGCAGAAAAAATCAAAACAAATTTATGTATCCAGGTATCTCATCAACCGCATCTAGCCAGTTCACACCTTCATCACCACGGAAACGTACAATGTCAACGGATTCCAATTCTTCTTTAACCATTAAGTGCAAAAGAACTGAATTTTTTGGCTACACACCATCGTGTCAAATTCAGGTAGTAATGTTGTTAAATTTAATCTTTCACAGCTACTATGTCAATTCAATGGAATAGTAATGATAATTGATGGCGCCTGGTTCTAAGCGTTAGGGGCATGCTTTCCATAGCCTCTGGCTACTTAGCATGGCTCCGCAGACTTGAATCCTGTGGGGTAATGTGGGATCATTATGTATGGCGGGATTCGCACCGTCACAGGGGGTGGTTTGTGTAACCATAGGTCAGTTACGGCTTCTTAGATTATCAAGTTCATGCATCTCGAACAAATGACTGGCTATTTATTCTCATACAGCACATGGACTGTTAACAGGAGGAGAGACCGTGTTTCGTCATACGATTGTCTCGTCGGCTTTTCTTGCCCCAGGATAATATGAAAACCCTATTCCATGTGTATAAATTAGTCATATTCTCTTTTTCATTATTCTATTGAAGCTTATATTAAAAATAGAAATTATTGTAAAACTACTTTCAGAAACTTGGTAAAAAGATCACTGGAAACGAATCTACAAAATTATAAGTAAACTTCATTTTTCATTTCACACGAAGTGGAAATTGTTGTTTTTGTTTGTTCTGTTGTATTGGTGTTGTGAAAAATGTCTTTGAAACGCTGTTTCGGCCTACGTGTCTATATATTTGAGCATAGCCATTTTGTTTCATTGTTTCAAACAGCTTCTCATGGCTAGCGATTGCTAAGATTTGCTAAACCAGTAGCTTGTATGGTTCGTGACTTCGACTCTTTCTATTCGGCGCGGCGGTGTGGCTCATTGTGCTAAGCATTCTGAATACACTCGCCACCGCACCTCTGATTACTCTGTGTGTGTTCGCAGTTTCGAATCCCATGCGGGGTTGGTTATGTGAGAGAGAGGATTTACGCCGTAGGGTGGTTCACGTAACTGCTGGTCGGTTACAGCTTCCTCCATCATCAAGTTCATGCTTCCGAAAAGAAATGACTAGACGTAGAATGATAACTGAACGAGGGGCCGTGGTTCACCATATGGGTAAGCCGTCTTATCGGGTTTCCTCTCCCCCAGGATAAATAAGTAAATCCTATTTTATTTGCCACTCATTTATTCATTTTTTTTTAGGATATACCAGGCCATATCTGTTGCACCTGTCATGCTGAAGGATTCTGTTGCAAGTCAAGATGGATTAGAATTTGATATCGACAAAACAATAAAGCATTCTTACTTTTCTGCATTTTCTTCAGCAAAATTTGATTTTCAGTTCGTTTTATCAAAAAACACTCTTTTGAACTATGCATTAATGTACATGGTCTGTAATTAACAACACTGCTGAGTTTGTATCAAAATTAGGAAATATCAGATTTGGGTCATGTTGTCCAAATTTGGCACATCATATAATATTGTATTCAAAATCGGAATTTTTTGTTATCATTCGATTCTAGAATATATATCTATTTCGATTTGTGCATTCTAGTTGGTACTGGAGAAGAACGTGCTACACCCTAGTGATTGATATTACTTGGCACTACCATTTTAGGAATAATGGTGCAGGTTGCCCTTATCATTTTCTCAATTTTTTATTCGTTTTCACTTCGTTTATCAATAACAAGCGTGTATTTCTTGCCAATCGTTGGCTACAAATATTCAGAAAACATTGAATAACAATTTTAAAACAAGGTTTTACATAAATACATGTTTTTAAAGATTTTGGATCTGGAAATTTATTTGTGTTATTTCTCATAAAATTTCTTTGTTGTTGCCATTGTTGGTTTCATGTATATCATACAAGGTTAAGAGTATAATATAATGTTAATTGTAGTTTTCAATTGTACTTCTGAAAAAATTTAGCAAAAATAATATCGAATCTGATAGCCACTCCTTTCGAAAAGGTGGTTCTGATGTGTGAATGATTAAAACAGGGATTCTCAGCAGTTCAGAACAAATCAAGTACCTTGTGTAGAAAGCCCATGCCACTAATGCGAAAATATCAGATTTGAGAAAAATACCCCGCCAGCATATTTTGAGTGCTGCAGATTGCGCTCGCCACGTTTCAAGTAATCAAAATAAAGAATTGGTGATTATCCGATCAGGAATGATTTGAAAATTGGAATTTTCAGCCCTAACTAGATATTTACTAATTTTTTATTTTGAGCGGTGGCAGAGGCGTCTACGAAAGATCCCAAATCAATACGAAATTATATTCAAATTTTGAAATTTGTGGTTTTAGGAATAATTCATGATCAAAATGGTGACGACCAAAAAATACCTTTCAATCATTTTATTGAAACTCTAAAAAGACAGAGACAATAAAATCACAGTTTGTTCCAACCCTTCTGTATTTCTCAGTTGAAAACTCTTTGATTGAATATACTGACTTCTACTTGTTTATGTTGAACATCATCCAATTTAAATATAATCCATGTTTGAAGGTATTATTTTAGACTGTATTCAGAATATTAGAATACGCGTTTATATTACCAGATGTGTCTTACTGACATCATGCTGTGTTAATTTGTATTTAATGAAGATAAACTGCTTGGTTTAATTGTCACTGGATATTTTAAAAATATCACCAATCTTGTACCTGTGAGCACACCATAAGTGGAATGTAGTCTCACAAGTTTCCCAATTATTTAATCATTGTAAAATCAACACTTTCCAAATGGTGATCTATTGTAATTTGTCTGATTTGATGAATTGTTGAGCTCTAAAGCAGAGGATCCCAAATTTCACAAACCCCCAATCAGTGCTGGTATTCAAGTGGTTCACTTGAATCCCTTTTTGGAATGTCATGCTATTCAGCGAACAGAATCTTGATTTTTGGAGGTATCTATAACTTTAGTATGGTGTCCTGGTTAGCGAGTCCAATAGCTCCCAACCATATGGTTTATGTAATTCAAATAATAATGCATTGAAAAATAAATTAAAATTAAATTACAGCAGTAAAAAGTTCTATACTACGTGTAATAATCAATGCGAACTTATTTTGTGAGCAATTATCATTTTATGGCTGAGTGTCTGACATCACCATTCATACTTCTCTCAATGTCAATTTCATAATATTTTTTGACGATAGGAAGTAGTTTTTGGGAAATGGATTAATATATGTATGGAAAATATTGATGACTGAAAATGGTACAACTTTGGCCCTCATTGAATCTTTTCTAAATACATATTGGATACTGTGCTTATTGTTGTTCTGATTTTTACTTATTTCTTTCTGTTTGTACAATTTTGCTGTTGCTGTTTTCTTTCAATTTCTTACGATATTCTATTCTCAGATCACTTTGAATTTCAATAAACATTGTGAAAAATATACATTGTAGATGTCTGCTGTGTTATGATGGATGCTGCCCAGACTAACTTCTTCATCAGGGCAACTTAGATATAGAAATATTTTTGCATTGGCTAGCATACTTCAATGGTGAATTATAGTCATAAATTCAACTGAAAATGAATTTCAAAAGCAATGGTATAGAGATTTTCATACAAGCGGAACAAAAGAAACGACTTTCGACCAATTACATGATCAAGCTCTCTCATAAAATAGAAAAAATCCTATTCAATTACTTCATATTGCCAACTTTTGTTTGAACATGACCAAATAATATGCCTCAAATACATAATTTCCTGTTTTCTCATATCCAATCACGTTTACCCTTTCTTACTAGTCTTATTTCTCGTTTATAAACTTTAAATTAATATTTCAGCAAAACCTGCTCAAACTGGACGCAAGAAACGAACTGTTCGGTCATCTAGTGAAGAAGAGTCTGTTGATGATTCAAAAAGTTCTGGAGATGAACAGGAAACTCAACAAAATGTGGTGGGTAAAGCATTAAATTCATCAGTTGTACATAGTAGAGCAAGGGTGGGCAACATATGGCCCAGGGGTGGGCAACTTCTCTAGTCTGCGGGCCAGATGTGGGAAGATGAAGTCCTCTGCTGCCCGGATTATTACAAAATATACTTCGGTATCCAATCTCTGTCAACTTTACGTTTCTTGGGATATTCCATGGTTGATAAAACTTAATATATAATCAATTTCTAAAATGTATTTATATTTAGAGTCTAAATATAACTGATAACAGTAGTTGGGAATGTTTACAACGCTCTCTGCTTTGAGCGTATATTGTTTGTTTGACAAGTGTGCTAACGCAATTGTTTGTTCCCCAAGGCAATTGGCAACCCTTCAACTTTCAAGAATGTTGTGTCGGACCACATTACAGAGTGTGGTTGGATACAGTCAGCGGGGCCGAGTTGCCTAACTAAACGTGGTAGGTCAACATGGTGGAAGGTCTTGTTTACAAATACATTACAATATGCAACAATATTATCAGTCTAATAATGGATAGTGCGCACTAAAGTCTCACAAGCTTGCCCGTTGTGTAATACGAGTAGCTTATTTTTTTAAATTCTGAAAAGCTCCACGGCATACCTGAGAATTTTTCACTTCACACAGTTTGAGAAACGCTACTTTAGACTTTAACTCGATATTCATCAACCTTGGTTTTGTGGAGGCTTTCAAGGCTACGGTGATGGCAGTTCAGATGGTACTCCTGAAGTATGCGCACCAAGATGTCGCACAACCTGAACGGCTGAACCCTAACCTGGTACACAACCTGAGTTTAGGTTGTGCGCCATCTTGGTGCGCATAATTCAGGAAGTCTGTTCCAATATATCACTGTTTCTTATAGGAATCTCGACCTGCTAGAGTAACAAGAAGAGCAGTGAGAAGATCAACAAGAACTGAGACGAGGGTTGTCATCAATTTTTCAAGCGATGATGAAGCTGATGATGACAATGAGGAAATAGAAGATGATGTCAAGGGTATTTTTTCTAGACATGAAATTTTTAATATTAAGTTCTAACTTTAATCTGCTGTATTTAACTGTTTAAATTTAATCGAATGTTCTCTACATGTCCACCAAACTACATATTTCCACTAGAAACACTGCTTGAAGATATCAGGCTGAATAGTTGTCATCGTATTACTCAGGATATTACCAAAAGACAAAATCATAAATCTAGAAAGTTAAAGAGTTGTGTTGTTTGGCAGATTTCCTATGTAGGTAAGCTTAGCCATTGTTTTAACTCAAATTTCATCTATTTTGAAAACCAAATGCTGATTATATAAGCTTGACCTTGGGTAACTTTTTCTACGGCTAATCATGCTATATATGTGTGCATTGCTTCTTTATTTCAGAAAATATTGCCGTTGTTGAACCACCTGCCGTAGATCTGGAGGAAGCATCAGATATAGATAGTCAAAATAGTACTCCAATAAGAAGGAAGAAAACACCAAAGCGAAGAATGACTCGCTCAATGTTGCGTGCTTAATAATGTTGAAAAATCAGTTGGTTTCGTTCAAATCAAGAAGAAGTAAAATTTGTACTAAACTGTAAATGTATATAGATATTATCAGGAAATTAATGGAAAGTAGAAATTGAAAAAAAAAATATTTATCTGTATATTGGTTTTGTTCACCATATGTGTTTACTTATGACAATCATAAACTTATTGCTGGTGCATAGAGAAAATTCCTAAATCCAACCTAGTTGATTCGGTACTCCTGTAGTATGTGTACCAGGTTGGGCACAACCTGAACATAGAAGTTGTACCAGGTCAGAGTTCAGGTTGTGCGCCATCTTGGTGCACATACTTCGGGAGTGACGGGGAATGTCTTAGTTGGCCAAGTGACCCCCTGCCCATAGGTTTCTGTCCTTTTACTCAACCTGATGTAAAGTAGGCGAACAAAATTAGTTACCTCCATATTGGTACACATACTTCTGGAGCGCCGTTGATTCACTGCCATTTTCATTTTTTCACAATTAGCTGCATTTGATACCTTCTTTATATTACTTGTTTATCTATAATTTGTATTTCATTTTTCAATCAGTCGCCAAACTCGTGCATTTGTTTTTCTAAATGTATTACACAGATAATGATTTATTCATCTCTTCAGAGTGCTGAGAAATCTGTAGAATGTCACAACAATTTGAATAACTCCTCTATTGCCCACTTGTTCTCAATTGACATGCAATGCCATACAGTTTTTTTATAGTCTTGTGCAGGTCTGTGGATTCTGGGAATATTTATGATCAACTTCAACTCTGAGCTCACCAATTGGGTACTCAAGACTCCAGGTTGATGGAAATTTTTGACTCCAGCGCCGAACTCTGTGGAGATTTTGACAATAAACACTTTGGCACTTCAATTATTACTAACCAAAGTCTGGAATTTTTACTCGGATACTTACAGATTTTAAAGTCTCTCTGCAAGACTCGACTGCAAGAAGTTCGAACTTACGACTTTGACTCTGTGGTGTAGTAGTTAAAAATGAAAGTTAAGACTTTTGAAAATGTCTTGTAGGAGTGATAGCCAACTTCAAACTTTTTTGGAACAATATAATTTATAATAGTTTTCAACTAGAGGAATTTTCGAGAAAAACAAATTTTTAGGGCTGTTTATTAAAGTGGGACTGCTTTTGATGGATTTTTGAGAGTTATAACGTTGTAAATAAATATATTTGATAGAAGTTAATTTCTGGTTTTGAAAAGAAGTAGGTGCATAATGTACTTTTGATCAGAGTATGATATGCATTTCACTTAGTTAAATTTCGTCTGAACAACGTTTAGCGGTAAGTGATGTGGTCTATATGATATTATAAACCTGGTAGTAGAATGCAAGGAGAAAAAGCTCGATATTTTAAAAGGGGATTTAAGTAAGTGACCAATCATGTAACATAAGCCGTTACATGCACGCGTCGTCGCAATTAGGGTTGGGACCCCAGGATTTGGACTCATTTTTTCAACCCCGATCCCGCAAATATTTCCTAAAAATCCCCATATAGATATTCTCACAAATGGTAGGTCATATATATATACAGTTTTATTTAATACTTATTTTGAGAAACAAAAAACATCCACGCTTACAGTTTGGGTAAGTCAGACTAAGTGGAATTATTGTGCAACATTTTTCTCAAATTTTACCAAGGAATTGTTATCTGCAGGCTTGTACATGGGATGGGACAGCACACAATTGTATTTCTCATGGGACTAGGGTTGCCAACTTTGTGTTAAAACATTCCGGGACACCTTAAGGACTAGAATTTGAAAATTGATGAAACAAATGCCTGTGAATCACGAAAGACATCAAAAGAAACAGTGTGCGCTGTGCGTCGAAGAGTGGTCATCCCGCGGAGTTATTTTCATAATTTCAAGCCTCTCAATAATTTAACCTTTAAGTTGTTTTAACTTATTTGATTGTTATGTCACCAGAAAGTTACGGTTGGTGAAACATGTCTTGTCGACAAGTTTCAACTCAGTTCTATTTGAATGACCCATACAGATATTCGCGTGAATTACATCCGTTTTCACTTTTAAACGAAGTCAGCAACCTTACATAGCCTTCTGTCTTAGAACGCTGTGGTTGTCAGTAAATTCCGGGACACGTAGCCCAGCCCGGGACACAGGACGCGATACGTCAATTCAGGGACTGTCCCGGCCATTCCGGGACAGTTGGCAGCCCTGCATGGGACACGAAAACCGTATGATTTCGTATGAAATGATGGTAAAACATTTTGTTATGAATTTCATGTTCATATATTCAAGCATAGCTCTCTTGTTAGTTATAAAGAGCAAAATATATTCAGCAATAAAAATATACGCCGCGAAGGGGGTTATGGACACATCACATGTATATTAGTTATGAATATAATGTTAACAAGGCCGTTAATTTTGTTGTTTTGCATGTCTATTCGTACATGTAGTCCTATTTAGTAGACGCTAAACCTAAATTTAACAATTTTTATTGAATTTATTCCAATGGGACAGGCATAATTGCTATGGGAATGAGACAGAAAAATATGTGCCATGGACAAGCCTGATTATTTAACTCATAGAATTGTCATTATTGCCGACTTATTAATCATAGTTTGAACTCAAAATAGCATTCAAGAATCACGCCTTCACGCAATGACTTTGAATACGAAAATAAAACAGCCACAATGAAAAAGTAAATTGAAAATCAAGAAGGTCAACTTTCGTCTTCATAAATATCCGCATTCCGGCGTCAGAAATGATAATATTTTTAGCTTAAAATTGGGACAGTTAATTTACAAACGGTGACAAGAAAGATCAAAGCCTACCCAAAAGATAAATCTCGGAATAAAATCTCGAGTTCAACCCGATATTCGGCAATTTGTTAAAATTATTCGATTCGATGAAAATATACTATTTTGCCCACCTCGCGATCTGTAACCATGCCTGTAATCAGGCAAAACGCGTGGTAGCACAAACACTGATGCAATCAAACTTGATAAAACCTTCAGAAATTTAGTGAATTGCACTACTTCACGAAAGCGTGGTGGAATTGACGATTATTTCATATCTCGAACGCAGAAACTGTTATTTTTCGGATAGTTTATGCGGTCTGAAAAGTCGAATAAGTGTTTTGACATAGTAAATGCTATGATCTTTGCCATCAAATTATGCTCGGGCCTTGCACGAAATTCATAACGTGGGAAGATACGTCCAGCTGTGAAAATTGTTTATAACAACTTTAAACCTATTTTGTGTTTTTAGCGATAATTAAAGTTGTTATAATGAAATACAGTCTGTCCGCTTCTTTCATTTCTCTCGATAACACTATTGAATGATTTTGGCAATGGGAGAAACGTATTG